CAGGCGATCGCCGGTGGGCTGCCCCAGCTGTGCCGCCAGCGATCCAGGATGCACAGTGCGATCAATGACAGGGAGCAGTCTCCCCTAGACCTGTATGCGACGTATGATGCCGCGATCCCCGGAGGCATCGGGCCCTACTCGTACCTGATGCGCCTCTATGGCTACGTCTCTTTTCCGGCGTGGGTAAGTGCGTGCGTCTATTGCCATTAAGACAACTTCCGACATGTCCTGCTGTACACCCGTTGACTCCCTTATTTCTCCACCCATTGCGTGTATACTTCTCACCTGATGTCAACTTTTGCTCCCTCGCCTTCCCCCTTGCATCCTCAACCCTTACCATGAATTTAATTCATTCCCCTCTGTGTCCATTCATATCCTTTTATGTGTACTGCCGTTTCCAACAATTTCACAATATGTTTCCCCCCTTCCAACTCTCGCATTGCAGCTCTGCACCATCCAATGTAGCCCATGCACCGTTTGTAAATACACCCCTGCCCCTAGGCCATTTACCCCTGGTTGTTGCTCTCATCTCCTCCATGTTATGACTGAAGTCGAATCTGCCTCTCTCTCCCCTGATCGCCCTCATATTCCACCCTGTAGTCACAACTATTCTAAACCCTGCCACCTCTCATGTCCACCCTACACCCTCTCGTGCCAACAGGTCCACACGGCGCTGGCTCTACCAGCTCGTGAGATGGACTACGGCCTGATCAGGCCGCACTATGTCCACACCAGCGTCTCGCACCATGGCGCTCCCGCCTTCTCCTTCATCGAGTACGAGAACGGGAGCGGGGAGACCGTGCACGGGCGTGTGCACCTTCTCTTAACGCTGATGCTGAACATCGAGGACGCGCACCCGGCGGGGGAGGCATTCGCCTTTGTGAGGCATTGGTACCCGTCCCAGGTGGACGAGTGCACGGGCTGCACGAGGATGCAGCCCTCTGACGACGAGCTGAGCTACGACATTGTGCCGGTCATAGTTGTGTAGAGGACCATGCACATGGTGGAGTCGTTTGTGACTCTCGAACTGTGGTATCTGAATATGTGGGCTGGCCCATGCCGCGAGGAGTTGCCCTAAGGCCGCCCCAGAATCCGCAGTCGCTCACTGCTGTCGACCCTTCTGTGCTGGAGTTCTTGTCACCACCCCTTCCCTCTGTCTTGGTTGCAACGCAAAAGCATGACATGCAAGCCCCAAGATGCCTCAATATTTTAAATGTTACCCTTTGGTCATCACCATAGCTTGGAGGGGAGAGATGTAGCGTGAGAAGTCGCTGTAATGTTTATTTTGTTTTAAAGAAAGTTATGTTTGACCTTTTTTTTTAAGACAAATCTGATTTGCATTACTCGCAATGTAACTTCACAGTTGCAAGACAATGTTTTTACACTACTATCGGCCACTTCTGTACGTCAAACAGATCCAAACAGGCTGCGCTCAACACCAACTCATCCTCAGCACACAATGTGAAAGGGGTTGCAATGGTAGTAGCAAGTGTGACAGTGCATATGCTATGCTAGGCCCGAAATTATTGCCTTGAGAGTGCACACAGCTTCTCAGCCATGCCCAGGTGCGCATGGCTGCTGGATACGCCAAATGTTGACAACATTTGGGCGTTCCATTTTTTGTGACGTAAGCCGCCCAGCGCCCAGACCCAGAATGTGATGGGTACCACTGATGTTGTGAAGCCCAGAGCAGTGCAGAGCGGTCAAGCGACCGTCACTTCTGCAGCAACCAAAGCCACGCCGGCTAGTAAGGCGACGCGAGTGAAGGCAACGCCAGCTAAGGCGACGCCAGCTAAGGTGACGCCAGTCCAGCGGCTGCGGTTGGTGTTAAGGCTGCAGGTGCGGGGAAGGCAGATGTGAAGAGTGGCGGTGCGGCTAAGGCCGCAAGCGTGAAGGGCTTGTCGGAGAAGGCTGTGCGTGCAAAGGCAGCGGCCATCCATGGCCCTTGTGCAAGCAGCCCAGCAGTAGCAGCGGCAGCAGCAACAACAAGCGCAGCTGCACCAGCCGGAGCAGCAGCGGCTCCCCTCAGCCCGAAGGCGGGTGTGGTTGGCGCATGTGGAATTCCGAGACCTGCAGCCAGCGCAACGCCAAGGATGGCCGCAGCAGCAGCGACGGCCAGTGGCATTCCCAAGCCAAGCAAGGCAGCAGCCTAGTGAAGGCATGAAACAAAAAAAGTGTAGCAGCAGTAGCAGTAGCCAATTGGAGGCGTGAAAAAATAATAAAGAGCAGCAGCTGCTGCTGCTTCCAATTGAAGGTGTGAAAGGCACAACAGCAGCGGCAGTAACAGCAGACGGGGGTTAAAATAGAAAAGAGCAGCAGCATTGGCAGAAGATGGGATCCAGGGCATGTTCAATGGGAGTGTGAAGGGAGGTGAGTGATGGTGAGATGGCATGGCTGGTGGGGGCTAGAGGGAGGTGCATGGAGGGACTTGCCCCTTTTCCACCCTGCTTGCAGGGTGTTGTGGGAGAGATGGGAGGTGAGGTGGAGGAATGTGGTGAGCTGGAATGGGGAGGCATGGCATGAGGGGGAGGAGCATGCCGTTGGATCAGCTGCTGCACCATCCTCCTGCTTGGCTCTTGATTAGTAGACATCTGCAATTCAATATAGATAATTTTCAAGTTTAGTGCCGTTGCTGCGAAATCAATATATTTCTGTAGTTGATGCACTATGGTTATGTGTTGCAACTGAGTGGTGCATGGGAGTGAGGAATGGTTGGCGGGTGTTTTGTGCCGATGGGTGAGGTAGAGACAGTGACTTGATGGTGAATGCTCATGTTGACTTGGTCAGCAGTAGTATGCTCTCTTGTCATGGCATCATGCCATGTGGTTCTGACGCCAGTATGCAGTGCTGCTTCGAAACATCTGCCATGGCAACCGACTCGTCATGACTTCACCCTGTTTCTACCACTTCCCTCCCATCTGCGTCCCCTCCTCTTCCTCCCTATTTATTTCATTCTTCCCCCTCATGTCCAACTTTTTTCTTTCCACCCACCTACTCCACCTTCTCCTCTCCATTCGTGGCTGGAACTTTTGCCCCGATCTTTATAGGAGTCGTTTTCAAGGTGTTTTTTTGTTAACATTTCTTTCTGAGGTGATGTTGGGAGTTCAAAGCATTCCACTTACACTCTCTTCCCCCATATATTCCCATCTTCTTATCTCTGCGCATAGCCACCACCTATTGTAGTTATGCTTGAACCAACCCGCAATTGTTCTTTTCCTTTTCGTATCATCACGTCCTGCTTGGTAACTGTTTCACCATTTCTTGCCAGATTCATCAGCTCATGTCATCATCCGTTGTTTCTCCTAGCAGTCTCCTCAGCTGATGATGTGATCGCTGTCTCATTCCGAGTTCATCAGCTCACAACTCCCTTGCCGTTTACATCGTCTCCATAATACCATATCACTACGTTCTCACTTCTCAGCTCATCTCCATAGTACCATATCACTACCTTCCCCCTACCACCCCCCTCCTCTTCTTTTATCTATCTGGAACTACGTGAGCAATGCATATGATTGAAGCAACCCAGGACAGGAGTATCCTTATATTTTCACATGAGCTGAAGTTGTTGTTGCTGCTGTGTGTTCTGTACTTGCCTTTGTTTTTTTTGCTGTATGTGATGCTGCATCACATGCCAGGCTCATCAGCTTGCGATGCTTTCACCATTTCATGCTAATTATATAGCTCATGACGTCATGATGCCTTCAGTTTCTCATAGGAGCCTTATCAGCTCATCATTCTCTACCCACACATGCCCCTTTTGTCAGCTCATCACCCGTTCACGAGCTCATGAGCCTCATGCCATTCTCATCAGCTCATGGTGCTTTCAGTGGTTTGCGCTGGTTCCATTCATTGCAACATAATGCTGTGAGGGAGTGGTTCGTGGTGAAAAGGGATGGCAGGTGGGGTGTGTTTCGGCAGAGGAGGGGTGAAGTAGGGAGGAATGGTAGAGCAGGGGAGAACACGCATGCTCACTTGCTTTTTGTGAAGCCCTTATGATCTTCTCCTTCAAGTGGTGGCAATGAACCTCATCAGCTCATGCCTTCTCATTCATGCCCTTTGTTTTTATACTTCCAGCGTCAAGCATTTTATTCCTCTTTGGAGAAGCGCTTCCTTGTCTTGTTTGGCCTTCCCATCGGCCAATCTTCATACTTTCAGTGCCTTCTTCCTTTTCATCACTCTTCTCCACTTTGTGTCCACGATTCTCCTCCTTGCTCTTTCTTTCCCGTTCAACCTATGAACCTTCACCATTGATGTAATTGCTCTCAGAATGCCCTCTCTCTTGAGACCTAATTGCTGCTATCTGATTGAATATAAGATAGTACACACTTGACTTTTCTGCACATTTTCTTAGCAAAGTTCCCTCCTCCATTCCCCCGCCCCCCCTCCCCACCCACTTCTCATACGTAACAATATTGTTCCCCACTCCCATCCCCCCTCGCTCCCTCATACGTCTTCCTTTTAACCATTTGCCAGTCCGTTATCACTGATGCTGTCAGCAACCTTCTTTGCTTATATTATTTTTACACCAAGCGCTGTATCTTATGTATCGAGTCACTAGCCAACAAAATTATCAGCATTTCATGCAAGTCACAATGGTCTTTATCCCTTCTGTTCTTCATGCATTTTATCAGCACATGTGCTTTCAGGTATCTCGTGCCAATTTCGTCATCTTACAATGATTTCAGGACCTTTTATCAATTTCCTCCGTACATGATGCTTTCACACCCACATTTCCTCCGTACAGGATGCTTTCACACCCACATTTTCTCAGTACAGGATGCTTTCACACCCACATTTCCTCAGTACGGGTGTAAACCCCCGTGCCCCCTCCCCCCTCCTCCCCCCCTTTCCTCATCTTCCCCATCGCCACCACTCCCATCCACCCTTTCTCCGTTCTTCCCTCTCCCTCCACATCAACTCGTCTGCATCCCCTTCCTCTTCCACCGCTTCCTGGCTACCACGACCATTTTCAGACCAGAGTGGGAAGTTCAGGAGGAGACATGGCAGACGTAGAGGTGAAGGGAGAGGGGGGCAGCGGAGGAGGGAACGGGTGGCAGTTGCTGAAGAGGATGGGCTGTTGAACAGTGAGGTGGAGGATGGGGCAGCTGGCGGTGGGGAGAGATGGGCGAAACGTGGATTAGGGCACACGAGCACCGGGAGAGTGGGCTGAAAAGCGCGAGTAGGGAGCAGGGGCGAAAAGGAAGAGCAGCTTTGGGGTGCCATGGAGGCGGGCTGGAAGGTGGAGGGGTGGTGGGCGGGGGAGCGGGGAAAGAGAAGTATGATGGGGAAGGAGCAGTATGATGGGGAAGGAGCAGTACGATGGGGAAGGAGCAGTATGATGGGGAAGGAGCAATATGATGGGGAAGGAGCAGTACGATGGGGAAGGAGCAGTATGATGGGGAAGGAGCAGTATGATGGGGAAGGAGCAGTACGATAGGGAAGGAGCAGTATGATGAGGAAGGAGCAGTACGATGGGGAAGGAGCAGTATGATGGGGAAGGAGGTTGAGGGGTAGGAGGGCATAGCAATGTCGACTTGTTCGGCTACTCGACTCCCATTCAGCACCCTCTTATCTCCGCATGACTCGGAACCCCCATGCTAAAGGAAAGTGACGAGTCTGACCAATCAGACAACTTTGAGCTTAGTTTGAGACTCTGAGGCCCTACCTGACAGAAAGGGTACTAGTATTCGATTTCAACTGGACTTATTGAAAGCAAGAGATAACGATGGTACGGTATTTGAAAGTATGCTGGTTTATATATTTTACACAATGGGCATGTCTACAGCTACCGTCATACCCCGGATAGAAGCGCCCCTGGGGTTGTAATAAAACACTTTTTTTTTAGGGGGTGCGCTTATAATTGAGGAAATTTATAAGCGCCGGCGTTTATATAACGGCAAAATGAAATTAAGTTTTTTTTTAACACCAAACAGTAGATCTCGTTCTGCCAATGTAATCGAGTCGAAAATATATGGGGTTGCGAATTTGACTCTCGAGCAACTTGGCAGGGATTGATTCCCTGGCAACACATGCTGACTAAGCGACAGCGCGTGCTGACTAGACGCGCAGCAAGTGTGATGTAAGTGGGGAAAGTGGAACTGTACTTCGCTTCCCTGGTAAGGTGAAATTCGTTCCTGTGTTCTGACCAAGTTTCAGATAATATTCGACATGCGCTTATAATAAATCATAAATTTTTAGGGGGTGCGCTTATAATCGAGGACCGGATATAAACGCCCTCATCCCTTTATAAGCGCCGGCGCTTATCCGAGGCCCTGCGCTTCTATCCGGGGTATGACGGTACCCCAGGATTCTCTGTAATGCAATCAGGATTCGCTTCACAGGGTACCTGAACGATAGTGCCAAATCGTTTGAGCTCTGATCCAGACCATCCCAACTCGAGCTACAAGTCCGTCCCAGTTACCTACCAACCTACCTAGTATCCGCCTTCACCCCTGGTTAAGCCTCCCAAATCTGATCCTCTCTTCAGCGCGCAGCACATCTGCATCAATCTCCCTGGACCAATCAGGGAGCTCCCTGTGGGTCAGGAAGTGCACCATAGCCCCGATGATGCGGGGATCTCGGAAGTACGCCCCGTGGTTGAGGTCAAAGCGCCCCGTCAGCTCGCCAAAGCGCTCCTCGATCATCACACACAGCTGCTTCACCTGCACAAGGGAGGAGGCGGAGACAAGCGGACGAGGGTAAAGCGGGGACAATCACATGCTAGACGAAGGGCACCCTAAGCTCACCAAAGCGCTCCTCGATCATCACACACAGCTGCTTCACCTGCACAAGGGAGGGAGGAGGGGAAGATAAGGGCGAGGACACCATGGGAAGAATAGTATACCACACTCATGTGTGGCTCCTTTGAGGCCTAAGATTCGCAACGGAACCATGTGGCACCTTCAGAGAAGGGAGTGACGTACAAAAACTCAGGGCATGCTAAAAGCCTAAAACCCTAACCCCGAGGGTCTGTGAGTTTTGGAGAAATTGCGGTGGGCGAGGACGAACCGGCCGGCAGCTGTCGAACCAGCCCGTGCATGCGCCATCAAGAGCACCCGCTTCATAACTGCAGGTTGTGTGCGAAACGCCTCATCATTGCTCGTGACCTCCCGTGTGCACACCAGCACATGCCCTGCAGCTCTGGGCGCTGCTGCCTCACCTGTCTGTCTGCTGTCTCACCTCTCTGTCTGCTGCCTCACCTGTCTGTCTGCTGCCTCACCTGTCTGTCTGCTGCCTCACCTGTCTGTCTGCTGTCTCACCTCTCTGTCTGCTGCCTCACCTGTCTGTCTGCTGCCTCACCTGTCTGTCTGCTGCCTCACCTCTCTGTCTGCTGCCTCACCTGTCTGTCTGCTGCCTCACCTGTCTGTCTGCTGTCTCACCTGTCTGTCTGCTGCCTCACCTGTCTGTCTGCTGTCTCACCTCTCTGTCTGCTGCCTCACCTGTCTGTCTGCTGCCTCACCTGTCTGTCTGCTGCCTCACCTGTCTGTCTGCTGTCTCACCTGTCTGTCTGCTGCCTCACCTGTCTGTCTGCTGCCTCACCTGTCTGTCTGCTGCCTCACCTGTCTGTCTGCTGTCTCACCTGTCTGTCTGCTGCCTCACCTGTCTGTCTGCTGTCTCACCTCTCTGTCTGCTGCCTCACCTGTCTGTCTGCTGTCTCACCTCTCTGTCTGCTGCCTCACCTGTCTGTCTGCTGCCTCACCTGTCTGTCTGCTGCCTCACCTGTCTGTCTGCTGTCTCACCTCTCTGTCTGCTGCCTCACCTGTCTGTCTGCTGCCTCACCTGTCTGTCTGCTGCCTCACCTGTCTGTCTGCTGTCTCACCTGTCTGTCTGCTGCCTCACCTGTCTGTCTGCTGTCTCACCTCTCTGTCTGCTGCCTCACCTGTCTGTCTGCTGTCTCACCTCTCTGTCTGCTGCCTCACCTGTCTGTCTGCTGTCTCACCTCTCTGTCTGCTGCCTTACCTGTCTGTCTGCTGTCTCACCTGTCTGTCTGCTGCCTCACCTGTCTGTCTGCTGTCTCACCTGTCTGTCTGCTGCCTCACCTGTCTGTCTGCTGCCTCACCTGTCTGTGTGCTGCCTCACCTCTCTGTCTGCTGCCTCACCTGTCTGTCTGCTGCCTCACCTGTCTGTCTGCTGCCTCACCTGTCTGTCTGCTGTCTCACCTCTCTGTCTGCTGCCTCACCTGTCTGTCTGCTGCCTCACCTGTCTGTCTGCTGCCTCACCTGTCTGTCTGCTGTCTCACCTGTCTGTCTGCTGCCTCACCTGTCTGTCTGCTGCCTCACCTGTCTGTCTGCTGTCTCACCTCTCTGTCTGCTGCCTTACCTGTCTGTCTGCTGCCTCACCTGTCTGTCTGCTGCCTCACCTGTCTGTCTGCTGTCTCACCTGTCTGTCTGCTGCCTCACCTGTCTCTCTGCTGCCTCACCTGTCTGTCTGCTGCCTCACCTGTCTGTCTGCTGTCTCACCTCTCTGTCTGCTGCCTCACCTGTCTGTCTGCTGCCTCACCTGTCTGTCTGCTGCCTCACCTGTCTGTCTGCTGTCTCACCTCTCTGTCTGCTGCCTCACCTGTCTGTCTGCTGCCTCACCTGTCTGTCTGCTGCCTCACCTGTCTGTCTGCTGTCTCACCTGTCTGTCTGCTGCCTCACCTGTCTGTCTGCTGTCTCACCTCTCTGTCTGCTGCCTCACCTGTCTGTCTGCTGTCTCACCTCTCTGTCTGCTACCTCACCTGTCTGTCTGCTGCCTCACCTGTCTGTCTGCTGCCTCACCTGTCTGTCTGCTGTCTCACCTCTCTGTCTGCTGCCTCACCTGTCTGTCTGCTGCCTCACCTGTCTGTCTGCTGCCTCACCTGTCTGTCTGCTGTCTCACCTGTCTGTCTGCTGCCTCACCTGTCTGTCTGCTGTCTCACCTCTCTGTCTGCTGCCTCACCTGTCTGTCTGCTGTCTCACCTCTCTGTCTGCTGCCTTACCTGTCTGTCTGCTGTCTCACCTGTCTGTCTGCTGCCTCACCTGTCTGTCTGCTGTCTCACCTGTCTGTCTGCTGCCTCACCTGTCTGTCTGCTGCCTCACCTGTCTGTCTGCTGTCTCACCTGTCTGTCTGCTGCCTCACCTGTCTGTCTGCTGCCTCACCTGTCTGTCTGCTGTCTCACCTCTCTGTCTGCTGCCTTACCTGTCTGTCTGCTGCCTCACCTGTCTGTCTGCTGCCTCACCTGTCTGTCTGCTGTCTCACCTGTCTGTCTGCTGCCTCACCTGTCTGTCTGCTGCCTCACCTGTCTGTCTGCTGCCTCACCTGTCTGTCTGCTGTCTCACCTCTCTGTCTGCTGCCTCACCTGTCTGTCTGCTGTCTCACCTCTCTGTCTGCTGCCTCACCTGTCTGTCTGCTGCCTCACCTGTCTGTCTGCTGCCTCACCTGTCTGTCTGCTGTCTCACCTCTCTGTCTGCTGCCTCACCTGTCTGTCTGCTGCCTCACCTGTCTGTCTGCTGCCTCACCTGTCTGTCTGCTGTCTCACCTGTCTGTCTGCTGCCTCACCTGTCTGTCTGCTGTCTCACCTCTCTGTCTGCTGCCTCACCTGTCTATCTGCTGTCTCACCTCTCTGTCTGCTGCCTCACCTGTCTGTCTGCTGTCTCACCTCTCTGTCTGCTGCCTTACCTGTCTGTCTGCTGTCTCACCTGTCTGTCTGCTGCCTCACCTGTCTGTCTGCTGTCTCACCTCTCTGTCTGCTGCCTCACCTGTCTGTCTGCTGCCTCACCTGTCTGTGTGCTGCCTCACCTCTCTGTCTGCTGCCTCACCTGTCTGTCTGCTGCCTCACCTGTCTGTCTGCTGCCTCACCTGTCTGTCTGCTGTCTCACCTCTCTGTCTGCTGCCTCACCTGTCTGTCTGCTGCCTCACCTGTCTGTCTGCTGCCTCACCTGTCTGTCTGCTGTCTCACCTGTCTGTCTGCTGCCTCACCTGTCTGTCTGCTGTCTCACCTGTCTGTCTGCTGCCTCACCTGTCTGTCTGCTGTCTCACCTCTCTGTCTGCTGCCTCACCTGTCTGTCTGCTGCCTCACCTGTCTGTCTGCTGCCTCACCTGTCTGTCTGCTGTCTCACCTCTCTGTCTGCTGCCTCACCTGTCTGTCTGCTGCCTCACCTGTCTGTCTGCTGCCTCACCTGTCTGTCTGCTGCCTCACCTGTCTGTCTGCTGTCTCACCTCTCTGTCTGCTGCCTCACCTGTCTGTCTGCTGCCTCACCTGTCTGTCTGCTGCCTCACCTGTCTGTCTGCTGCCTCACCTGTCTGTCTGCTGTCTCACCTCTCTGTCTGCTGCCTCACCTGTCTGTCTGCTGCCTCACCTGTCTGTCTGCTGCCTCACCTGTCTGTCTGCTGTCTCACCTCTCTGTCTGCTGCCTCACCTGTCTGTCTGCTACCTCACCTGTCTGTCTGCTGTCTCACCTCTCTGTCTGCTGCCTCACCTGTCTGTCTGCTGCCTCACCTGTCTGTCTGCTGCCTCACCTGTCTGTCTGCTGTCTCACCTCTCTGTCTGCTGCCTCACCTGTCTGTCTGCTGCCTCACCTGTCTGTCTGCTGCCTCACCTGTCTGTCTGCTGTCTCACCTCTCTGTCTGCTGCCTCACCTCTCTGTCTGCTGCCTCACCTGTCTGTCTGCTGCCTCACCTGTCTGTCTGCTGTCTCACCTGTCTGTCTGCTGCCTCACCTGTCTGTCTGCTGTCTCACCTGTCTGTCTGCTGCCTCACCTGTCTGTCTGCTGTCTCACCTCTCTGTCTGCTGCCTCACCTGTCTGTCTGCTGCCTCACCTGTCTGTCTGCTGCCTCACCTGTCTGTCTGCTGTCTCACCTGTCTGTCTGCTGCCTCACCTGTCTGTCTGCTGTCTCACCTGTCTGTCTGCTGCCTCACCTGTCTGTCTGCTGTCTCACCTCTCTGTCTGCTGCCTCACCTGTCTGTCTGCTGCCTCACCTGTCTGTCTGCTGTCTCACCTGTCTGTCTGCTGCCTCACCTGTCTGTCTGCTGTCTCACCTGTCTGTCTGCTGCCTCACCTGTCTGTCTGCTGCCTCACCTGTCTGTCTGCTGCCTCACCTGTCTGTCTGCTGTCTCACCTCTCTGTCTGCTGCCTCACCTGTCTGTCTGCTGCCTCACCTGTCTGTCTGCTGTCTCACCTGTCTGTCTGCTGCCTCACCTGTCTGTCTGCTGTCTCACCTGTCTGTCTGCTGCCTCACCTGTCTGTCTGCTGCCTCACCTGTCTGTCTGCTGCCTCACCTGTCTGTCTGCTGTCTCACCTCTCTGTCTGCTGCCTCACCTGTCTGTCTGCTGCCTCACCTCTCTGTCTGCTGCCTCACCTGTCGGTCTGCTGTCTCACCTCTCTGTCTGCTGCCTCACCTGTCTGTCTGCTGCCTCACCTGTCTGTCTGCTGTCTCACCTCTCTGTCTGCTGCCTCACCTGTCTGTCTGCTGCCTCACCTGTCTGTCTGATGTCTCACCTCTCTGTCTGCTGCCTCAACTGTCTGTCTGCTGCCTCACCTGTCTGTCTGCTGCCTCACCTCTCTGTCTGCTGTCTCACCTGTCTGTCTGCTGCCTCACCTGTCTGTCTGCTGCCTCACCTGTCTGTCTGCTGCCTCACCTGTCTGTCTGCTGCCTCACCTGTCTGTCTGCTGCCTCACCTGTCTGTCTGCTGCCTCACCTCTCTGTCTGCTGCCTCACCTCTCTGTCTGCTGTCTCACCTGTCTGTCTGCTGCCTCACCTGTCTGTCTGCTGCCTCACCTGTCTGTCTGCTGCCTCACCTGTCTGTCTGCTGCCTCACCTGTCGGTCTGCTGTCTCACCTCTCTGTCTGCTGCCTCACCTGTCTGTCTGCTGCCTCACCTGTCTGTCTGCTGTCTCACCTCTCTGTCTGCTGCCTCACCTGTCTGTCTGCTGCCTCACCTGTCTGTCTGATGTCTCACCTCTCTGTCTGCTGCCTCAACTGTCTGTCTGCTGCCTCACCTGTCTGTCTGCTGCCTCACCTCTCTGTCTGCTGTCTCACCTGTCTGTCTGCTGCCTCACCTGTCTGTCTGCTGCCTCACCTGTCTGTCTGCTGCCTCACCTGTCTGTCTGCTGCCTCACCTGTCTGTCTGCTGCCTCACCTGTCTGTCTGCTGCCTCACCTGTCTGTCTGCTGCCTCACCTGTCTGTCTGCTGCCTCACCTGTCTGTCTGCTGTCTCACCTGTCTGTCTGCTGCCTCACCTGTCTGTCTGCTGCCTCACCTGTCTGTCTGCTGTCTCACCTCTCTGTCTGCTGCCTCACCTGTCTGTCTGCTGTCTCACCTCTCTGTCTGCTGCCTCACCTGTCTGTCTGCTGCCTCACCTGTCTGTCTGCTGCCTCACCTCTCTGTCTGCTGCCTCACCTGTCTGTCTGCTGTCTCACCTGTCTGTCTGCTGCCTCACCTGTCTGTCTGCTGCCTCACCTGTCTGTCTGCTGCCTCACCTGTCTGTCTGCTGCCTCACCTGTCTGTCTGCTGCCTCACCTGTCTGTCTGCTGCCTCACCTGTCTGTCTGCTGCCTCACCTGTCTGTCTGCTGCCTCACCTCTCTGTCTGCTGCCTCACCTGTCTGTCTGCTGCCTCACCTGTCTGTCTGCTGCCTCACCTGTCTGTCTGCTGCCTCACCTGTCTGTCTGCTGTCTCACCTGTCTGTCTGCTGCCTCACCTGTCTGTCTGCTGCCTCACCTGTCTGTCTGCTGTCTCACCTCTCTGTCTGCTGCCTCACCTGTCTGTCTGCTGTCTCACCTCTCTGTCTGCTGCCTCACCTGTCTGTCTGCTGCCTCACCTGTCTGTCTGCTGCCTCACCTCTCTGTCTGCTGTCTCACCTGTCTGTCTGCTGCCTCACCTGTCTGTCTGCTGCCTCACCTGTCTGTCTGCTGCCTCACCTGTCTGTCTGCTGCCTCACCTGTCTGTCTGCTGCCTCACCTGTCTGTCTGCTGCCTCACCTGTCTGTCTGCTGCCTCACCTCTCTGTCTGCTGCCTCACCTCTCTGTCTGCTGTCTCACCTGTCTGTCTGCTGCCTCACCTGTCTGTCTGCTGCCTCACCTGTCTGTCTGCTGCCTCACCTGTCTGTCTGCTGCCTCACCTGTCTGTCTGCTGTCTCACCTCTCTGTCTGCTGCCTCACCTGTCTGTCTGCTGCCTCACCTGTCTGTCTGCTGCCTCACCTCTCTGTCTGCTGTCTCACCTGTCTGTCTGCTGCCTCACCTGTCTGTCTGCTGCCTCACCTGTCTGTCTGCTGCCTCACCTGTCTGTCTGCTGCCTCACCTGTCTGTCTGCTGCCTCACCTGTCTGTCTGCTGCCTCACCTGTCTGTCTGCTGCCTCACCTGTCTGTCTGCTGTCTCACCTGTCTGTCTGCTGCCTCACCTGTCTGTCTGCTGCCTCACCTGTCTGTCTGCTGCCTCACCTGTCTGTCTGCTGCCTCACCTGTCTGTCTGCTGCCTCACCTCTCTGTCTGCTGCCTCACCTGTCTGTCTGCTGCCTCACCTGTCTGTCTGCTGCCTCACCTGTCTGTCTGCTGTCTCACCTGTCTGTCTGCTGCCTCACCTGTCTGTCTGCTGTCTCACCTGTCTGTCTGCTGCCTCACCTGTCTGTCTGCTGCCTCACCTGTCTGTCTGCTGCCTCACCTGTCTGTCTGCTGCCTCACCTGCCGCACGCACTCCTGGTCAGAGAGGCGGGGGTTGTGGGTGATGGCGTGCAGCTGCGGCCTGAGCAGCGTGTACGTCTCTGACTCGCGCGCGGCTGCCTCCAGCACTCCATCGTCCCACAGGAACTCATATGCCAGCCGCTCACCCCTGCTGCCACTGCCGTGCCTGGACCCCATGCCCTTCTCCTCCACTCCCCGCTGCTGCTTGCCTTTCATCTCTTCATGTGCATCCCCGACAGAGGCCCCGCCCAAACCATCTCTTGATGAACCGCCCACTCCCCCCTTCCATGCTGCACTTCCAGCTCCCTCTGAGCTGCTTCCTTCCCCTCCTCGCTTCTCCTTGCCGTCACCCCCCTCCTCACCCCCCTCCTCACCCCCATCCTCACCCCCCTCCGCTCTCCTCTCCCCCTGTCGCAGAGACCGCTCGGTGAACGTGACGCGCCGTCGGAAGCGGCTCCGCATCGAGCTGCAGGCTGCGCGGCCCTCCACTCCCTCCTCGCCTCCTCCTGCTGCCACCTGCTGCAGGGCCGCAGCAGCGGGTTCCACTGGTGGACCGCTGCCCAGTGTACCTGAGAGCCGTGCTCGCGAGTCAAGAGGCTCAGCTGCATCTATGCAGCCCTCCTGCTGTGGTCTTGTCGCATCTGTCTGTGTCGAGTCTATCAGAGGACTCCCTTCGCCCTCACCACCCGATCTTTCGTCCGCGTCCCCTTGCCTCCTCACTCTCACCTCCCCACCTCCAACCCCCTCCTCCTCCTTTCTCTCTTCCACCTTCCCCTCTCTTCCAATCAGCCCCTCTCCACGTACCCCTGTCACGGGTACCTTCTTTCGAGGTATGCCCTCCCGAGGAACCCCCTCCTCAGGTAGCCCGTCCCCAAATAGAGCCTCCCCCATGTCACACGTGTCGTCCTCATACCCCTCCATCAGCTCGCCCTGCAGCGACCTCGTCTTGGCCAGCGCCAGCAGTTTCTGGGAAGGTGGGGAGAGAGGAAGGGAGGGGAGGTGCAAGGAAGAGGGAAATGACTCGTTTTCCTGAAAAAAACAAGGAGGGAGAAGTCGATTTGATAGTTGTGAGATACCTCCAATCCTGGTCTACTGCTGCATCTGCTGCACCGTCTGCATGTGCTGCAGTGCTGCACCTGCTCTATATTGTTGTGCTAATGCTGCGCATGATGCCATGTGGGCGCATGATGCCATGTGGGCGCATGATGCCATGTGGGCACATGATGCCATGTGGGCGCATGATGCCATGTGGGTGGAGGTGGAGGTGGAGGTGGAGGTGGAGGTGGAGGTGGACACTGGAGTGGAGTGGACTCGACTCAACACGCACCTGCACGTTCCAGTGTTCGATGTGTTGTGACGCCAAGCCGAGGTCGAGTCGTTCGTCCACAAACACACTGGCGAAGCTCAGCTCCTTGGGGGACAGCCCGAAGCTCACCGTCACGATCACGTTGCGCACCATTGAGATTACCACCGGCGCCAGCACGCGCGACAGCAGCGCCACTGCCGCTGCGGGCAGGATGAAAATTACGTTCCACATGAGGATCCGGGCAGTGTTGCTGATGTACAGCGTCCATTCGGAACATTTTCTCGTGACCGGGCGGCGCGGGAGGGGTTTCCAGAAGGGGAGCTTGAGCATGGAGGCCAGCTGCGGGAAGATGTAGGCTCGGGCGATAGGCTCGGTGGAGAGCGCCAGGCTGGCTTCGTCTAATTTGCCGGCATGGATGACGAGTGCTGACATGGCATGCGACCAATCAAAGCCGGGCGAGTGGTAGATGTTGCCGCTGTAAAAGGCTGTGCTACGCCAGAGCTGGGGCGGGGAGGGCCGAGAGGGGAGAGACGGGGGGAGGAGGGAGGGAGAGAGAGAGAGAGATGGGGAGGAAAGAGAGGATTAGTGGACCAAGAAAGCAGAGCGAGGAAAAAAAAAAGAGGGTGCAGCGAGAGTGATGTGTGATGGGTTCTGTGGTTGTGGAAAGCCGTGCAGGAGAAAGCTGGGATGGGTGGTAATGGCTGGGGAGGGAGAGGCAGCGGAGGAGAGGGGAGCGAGGGATAGGCGATGGAGAGGAGACGGAGAGGAGGAGGAGATGGAGAGGAGATGGAGAGGAGACGTGAATGCCAGTACATAGTACCATACAATCACGTGAGTGCCAATACATAATACCATACAATCATGTGAATGCCAAGACATAATACCATAAAATCATGTGAATGCCAATACATAATACCATACAATCACATGAATGCCGATACATAACACCATACGTGAGTGCCAATACATAATACCATACAATCACATGAATGCCGATACATAACACCATACGTGAGTGCCAATACATAATACCATACAATCACATGAATGCCGATACATAACACCATACGTGAGTGCCAATACATAATACCATACAATCAAACGCACCTCCATGGCCACACTGATGATGGCGAAGATGAGAACAGCAGTGGCGAGGGAGAAGGGCACGTAGCTCGGAGTGGTGGTGCTGATGCCATGCCACGCCATGCCACGCCATGCCACGCCATGCACAGGAGGCACGGGATGGAGGGAGGGAGGGAGAGACTGGTGGAAAGGAGAGCAAGGGTTCTCACCAAACCCCACCTGCATGCTAAGCCTAAAACCTGTCACTATAAAATCTTCAAACCTTATACGATTTCAGCACCGCCGGTCCGCCACCATGTCCAGTACCTGGCAAGCTGGCCGGCAATAGCGAGCACGACGACGCGCCACAGCAGCACGTAGCCCCACATGACCACGAACGTCACCCCCACGGACACGGCGGTGGTGGCGAGCAGCAGCACCATGCCGTTGCGCTCCCAGCTCTTCATATAAAAGGGCGTGCCCAGGAACACCACCCCGCCCAGTGCGTTCGACAGCGGGCTCGTGGCCAGGCGGTGGGCGAGGAAGAGGCGCTGCCGCTGCGCAGGCAGGCGGAGGAGCGAGTCGAGCCAGCGGTGGGAAGCCCACGGGTACTGCTCCTTCACCCGCCCCTCCCTCTTCCCCGCCATGCTGCGCCCGGGAAGGGGGGGAGGAGGAACGGGGAAAAGAGGGGGGGAGAAGGGGGCTGGAGCAACAAAAACAGGAAGGGACTGTTCCCCGCTGGTGGCAGGCTGGCAGTGCTGAGAGGGAGCCCCCCTCCATTGCACATGCTGCTTCGCGCCCACCCATGCTGCTTCGCGCCCACCCATTCTGCTTCGCGCCCACCCATGCTGCTTCGCGCCCACCCATGCTTCTTCGCGCCCACCCATGCTGCTTCGCGCCCACCCATGCTGCATGCATGCATGGGGGCGACGGCATTTTGGGGGGACGGCAGTGTGAAGACATGGCGAGGTGGGCACATACGTGGATGGGGGGTGGGGGCGTTGGGGCGTGGGAGCGTGGGCGCATGGGGGATGGTGGGGCAAGCAAGGAGGTGCCCAAGGAGGTGCCCAAGGAGGTTCACGCCAGCGCTCACGGGGAAAGAGGGGAGCACAAGTGCAGACGAGGGGAGGTAGAGGAAGACGGGAAAGGTAGAAGTTTCTACAGCAGGGGAGAGGTGAGGGAGGGGAGGGGCAGGGAGTTAGGGGAAGGGAGGGAGGGGAGGGAGGGGAGGGAGGGGAGGGGAGGGAGGGAGGGTGAGCATTGTACCTCCTCTTGACAACAAGGAAAGGGAAGAAGCGCCACAAGGTGTTGGAAACATCCGGCTTCCGCCAGTGGCGAATCAAATCGTATCTGCTCTTGTACGCCGCCCAAAATCGTTGGAGCACAGGTGGCGGGAGGTCCGACACGGCCTTGCTTCCCTGGCGCTTCATGTACTGCCGTGCGGTTTGTGGCAGGGGGGCAGGGTGGCAGCGGGTGGGGAAGAGGAGAGAGAGGAGGAAACTTTGAATTCAAAGAGCAATGAAAACGGTACATGATAAAAGAGGGAAATCGAAGGAAAATGGAGCCGTTTGACCACCCGGGCTTTAAGCACAAGAGCACTCACGAGCTCGATGGCTTTAAGCAGCACTCACGAGCTCGATGGCTTTAAGCAGCACTCACGAGCTCGATGGCTTTAAGCAGCACTCACGAGCTCGATGGCTTTAAGCAGCACTCACGAGCTCGATGGCTTTAAGCAGCACGTTGCCCCCGTGGGAGTGCGCGATGACGTGGATGCGCGCTGAGGGGTCGCCATTCGCTATCAGGTCCAGCAGGCGCGCCAGCTGTGGGGAGAAGAGCGAGGGAGAAGTGGGTGGGGGGAGAGATGGGGAGGAGGAAGATGAGGTTGGGAGATGAGGTTGGGAGATGGGGTAAGAGGGGTCGCTGTGTGTTATCACATCCCGCCGGCACATCCACAGCTGGTGCGCCTGGTAGAGGGGGAGGGGGGAGATGAGCGGGAGGGAGAGATGAGCGGGAGGGGGAGATGAGCGGGAGGGGGAGATGAGCGGGAGGGAGAGATGAGCGGGAGGGAGAGATGAGCGGGAGGGAGAGATGAGCGGGAGGGGGGAGATGAGCGGGAGGGGGGAGATGAATGGGATGGAGAGATGAGCGGGAGGGGGGAGATGAGCGGGAGGGGGGAGATGAGCGGGAGGGGGGAGATGAGCGGGAGGGGGGAGATGAGCGGGAGGGGAGAGATGAGCGGGAGGGAGAGATGAGCGGGAGGGGGGAGATGAGCGGGAGGGGGGAGATGAGCGGGAGGGGAGAGATGAGCGGGAGGGAGAGATGAGCGGGAGGGGGGAGATGAGAGGGAGGGGGGAGATGAGCGGGAGGGGAGAGATGAGCGGGAGGGAGAGATGAGCGGGAGGGGGAGATGAGCGGGAGGGGGAGATGAATGGGAGGGAGAGATGAGCGGGAGGGGGGAGATGAGCGGGAAGGAGAGATGAGCGGGAGGGAGAGATGAGCGGGAGGGGGGAGATGAGCGGGAGGGAGAGATGAGCGGGAGGGAGAGATGAGCGGGAGGGGGGAGATGAGCGGGAGGGGGGAGATGAGCGGGAGGGGGGAGATGGGCGGGAGGGGGGAGATGAGCGGGAGGGAGAGATGAATGGGAGGGAGAGATGAGCGGGAGGGAGAGATGAGCGGGAGGGGGGAGATGAGCGGGAGGGAGAGATGAGCGGGAGGGGGGAGATGAGCGGGAGGGGGGAGATGAGCGGGAGGGGGGAGATGGGCGGGAGGGGGGAGATGAGCGGGAGGGAGAGATGAGCGGGAGGGAGAGATGAGCGGGAGGGAGAGATGAGCGGGAGGGGGGAGATGAGCGGGAGGGAGAGATGAGCGGGAGGGAGAGATGAGCGGGAGGGAGAGATGAGCGGGAGGGGGGAGATGAGCGGGAGGGGGGAGATGAGCGGGAGGGGGGAGATGAAGGGGAGGGGGAGATGAGCGGGAGGGAGAGATGAGCGGGAGGGAGAGATGAGCGGGAGGGAGAGATGAGCGGGAGGGGGGAGATGAGCGGGAGGGAGAGATGAGGGGAAGGTGGGAGATGAGCGGGAAGGGGGGGATGAGGTGGGGCGAGGTTGAGGGAGAGGGGCCGCCGTGCGTCTGAGGTCCAGCATAAGCAAGGGTGCCAGCATAAGCAAGGGTGCCAGCATAAGCAAGGGTGCCAGCATAAGCAAGGGTGCCAGCATAAGCAAGGGTGCCAGCTGTGGCCGCGATGTTGCGGGCGAGGGGAGAGCGGGGAGACGGGGGAAGGGGGTGGGGGGAGAAGGGAGAGGGGGAGGAAAAGTAGGGGGGTAGAGAGAGGGGGAGAGGCGGGGAGAGCGGGGAAGAGGGGGAGGGAGGGGGGGAGAAGGATAAAGGGGGGACGAAGGGGGAGGAGGGAGCCGATGTGGGAGAAGGTGGAAGAAGGAGGTAGGAGAGAAGTGAAGCGCGGAGTCATTGCACGTGTGTTGAGTGGTGGCTTGAGATGTTGAAGGTGCGGAGTGCGGGGGAGGGGGAGAACTGGAGAAGAACACGAATTCGCGGTGTAGTTGGGCAACTCAGGGCGAGGAGGAGAAAGCAGGGGCCATAGTACGCGCGTGAGTCACTACATGTTGCTCCGGGGTATCGTAGTTGGTGACTAGCGTAACAACCTTGTGCGAGGCGTCGATGCGCCCTTCATGCGTGTTCGTGCCGTCCCAGTGAAACGGATACGGAATGCGGAGTCGCGCCGGCGGCTCCACCGGCAGCTCGCGCCACACGCACCCGCCGCCGAGCGGTCCCTCCGCGAGGCGCGCGTCGATCTTGCTGCAGAAATTGATTTCGCCGGGCGCCGCGGGCTGGTACCACGTGCGCGACCCGTCTACAGGCGGCGCGTCGAACGTGCCGTGCACGACGATGACGTAATGCGTTTCCTGCGACGCGTCGAACGACACCGTGCGACAGCTCGCCGGCGCCTCGGGGTCCATATCCTCGTTATTGGATCCCTCGTTGGGCTGGTGAAGCTTGCAAAACGGACCGTTACATGATGCTAGATAGAAGCACCCGCAAGAGTTATCCAAGTCTGTCGCCTCATCGATTGGCATATCATTCGTCGCTGTCGCCGCGCCTGACGACGCGAGCGCTCGATCTTCATGACTGGCAGCACGGCTGTTGCCCATTTGCGAACATTTCTAAAAATAACAAACATCGCCTGGAAAAAGAATGAGGTAATTACCATAGCTTGTGGGGTGGGAGTGGGACTTGTGAGATCTGCCGTCCCTCAACCCCTTCTGCGGCAAATGCGGGTGTGCCTTGTTGCGGCAGCCCCGAATCCACGTGTATCGCGGATGCAAGCGTGGGTTGTACCAGTAAGAAGAGTGACCAGTATATTTATTCCACTATCACACCAATATATTAGCGTGAGCGGAAAAAGTCTATTGCTGTTACGAGTGCAATTGAGTGAGCGAACGAGAATTGCACTATCGAAGCAAGAGTACAATGAGCGAAGGCATGACCGAAGAATATATAGCGAAACTACAATGGTAACGGTAATGCGTGGAAATTGGGGTGCGCGACGGGCCTGGCGCCGAGGTTGGGAAGTGCCGAGGCGGAGGTCCGGAGCGCGGGTTACCAACCGAACCGTGAGCTTGGGTTGCGTCGTGAACAGTGGCGGGAACAGTGTCGAGGCGAGTGTCGCGAGTGGTAACGGATTACTATTGGGTGCTGTTGGCGGGAACAGTGGTGTACGCGCTGAGCAGGGACGCGAATTAAGGAAAAGGAATTTTCCTTACACTACCCCCCCCCCCCTAAGGAGGACTTCCTTACGAGAGCCCGTGTACATCCCGGAAGTTTCGGCTACGAAGATACTCGGTGAGGACAGGGTGATTCTCAAGGATATCCAAGGGAACCCAGTTATCCTCCGTGGGCGTGCGGTCTTTCCAGCGGATCAGAAATTCGATCCTTCGAGCTCCTCGTGGGTCACGGATGCGGTGGCTCAATATCTTTTCGTGTGAGATGATGGGCTCGATGGGTGGTCGTGTCATGCTGGCTGGGCGGTTGCGAGGCAGTTGGATGGTGGAGGGTACGTAAGGGCGGAGAAGGCTAACATGGAAGGACGGGCTGACATACCAGTCAGCAGGGAGGAGGAGGTGGGCGGTGACGGGTGTGATCATGAGACTGATGCGAAATGGCCCGCAATATCAGGGGCGTAGTTTTGGTGTGATGGGCAGGCAGAGGTTCTGAGTGTCGAGTAATGGCAAACTAATATACTATAGTCTGTGTAGGCTGTAGTGGGGTAGCTTATATGGGGTACAACACTTTAGGGTTTGGCACTTGTACTCCTCATGCTGCTCAATGCAATCATTCTCGTTCCAGTTTTCTCATGGTATCGAGCAGGTTCCCTCGTGGGAACTGTTCCTAGGGCCCACCGTTTTTTTTTCATGCCGGACACAGACCCTGCCTGAGCCGCGCTCCCCTCTCACAGCCCCATCGCGCCGCCCTTGCGGTCCCGTTGCGCCGCCTTCGCGGCCCCGTCGCGTCGCGCCGCCCTCGCTGCCCCATCACGCCGCCCTCGCGGCCCCGTCGCGCCGCCTTCGCGGCCCCGTCGCCTCGCGCCGCCCACGCGGCCCCGTCACGCCGCCCTCGCGGCCCCGTCGCGCCGCCCTCGCGGCCCCTACGCGCCGCCCTCAGCGGCCTCGTCGCCACCCCACCCGGCCCCGCCGCCGTCCCTTCAGCGGCCCTGCCGCCCTTCACGGCCCCGCCGTCACCACCGAGCAGCCAAGCCGCCGAGCCGCCGTTGCCGCCGAGCCGCCGTTGCCGCCGAGCCGCCGAGCTGCCGTTGTCGCCGAGCCGATGAGCCGCCGAGCCGCCGTTGCTGCCGTTGTCGCCCAGCCGCCGCTGCCGCCGAGCCGCCCGAGCCGCCCTGTCCGCTACGCCCAGTCACTGCCGTCGCGGCCCTGTTCCTGCCAGCGAGCCTCGGTTCTTCTCACCTGCCCGGTAAGAGCACCGCCTCTACCACTGCACTGCCCTTAGCCTGCTGCTCGCGCTGCTAGTCTACTGCTATCATGGCTACCCCTAGTGTCCTAGCTTTTGACGATGAGGGTCAGGCCATTGACTTTGACGTCTGGGTAGATGACCTGCAGCTTTCCGTACAGTGCGATAGGGCAGCCGGTCTCTCCCTCTTTGACCTCACTTCTGGTGCCTCTCCTGCCCCTGCTGCTGATGCTGACGCCACTGTTCGCTCACAGTGGGCCACACGCGATGCTGCTGCCCGTCTTGGTGTGCGCCGCCACTTGCCTACCGCTGAGCGTGCACACTTCAGTTAGTACAAGAGTGCTAAGACCTTGTACAACGCTGTTGTTGCACCCTACTCTTCCCCTGCCACTGCTGCCCTTAGCCGCCTCATCCTGCCGTACCTCTTCCCAGACCTCGCCGCTTTTCCCAAAGTCGCTGACCTCATTACGCACCTTCGCACTAGTGATATTCGTTACTGCACTGCCCTTCCTCCTGAATTCTGCGCCAAGAACCCCTCCCCTATGTACATCACCCTCTACTACATAGTCACCCGGCTCCCTGTTACCCTTCGCGCGGTCAGGGACCACTTTCTCTCTGTTTGCCCCACCACCCTCACCGTTGACCTCCTCGAGGAGCGCCTCCTAGCGGCAGAGAAGAGCATAGTCGCTGTAGGAGCCTCTCGTGGTGACCCTCGTGCCCCTGTGTTTAATAGGTGCTCCCCCTCTCCCCTCTTGCCCTCTGTTGCCTCTGCTGCTGCGGCCGACCTCGTTGGTCTTGAGTCGGTCGGTGCGGCGTCTGCCCCTAGCGGGAGACGCCGCACTGGCAAGGGCAAGGGGGGAAAGGGCGCTGGAGGAGCTAGCGGGGGCGGTGGAGGCGGCGGTGGAGGCAGTGGAGGGAGTGGGGGTGGCGGTGGGGGTGGTGGCGGGGGTGGGGGCGTCAGTGGCGGCGGTGGAGGCGGAGGCGGCGGCGGCGGTGGCGGTGGGAGCGGAGGTGGCGGAGGTGGCGGCGGTGGAGGAGGTGGCGGCGGAGGAGGTAAAGCTGGTCAGGGTGGCGCTGCGCAGAGGGTCGGCTCTGGTGGTGGTCAGCGCCAGCAGCAGCAGCAGTAGCAGCAGCAGCGCACTCGTGAGATCCCTCCCCCTCAGCAGCTTCGTGAGTGGTACGCTGCACGTCAGCGGGGTGGGGGTACTAGTCCGTGCACCTACGTCCTACGCACCGGCAACCGCGCGGGTGAGCAGTGCGGGGGTACGCACTCCACCCAGCGCTGCTTTGGCCGCCTGACGGACGCTTGGCGTCACCAGTTCCTTGAGGCCACTGAGATCCTTCGCTGGGGCGAGCTGTCTAGGGCGGGGGTTCCTATCTTCGATCTTGATTATGATGCTATTCTTGCTACCATGTATGCTGTGACTATTAGTGATGAGGGTGACTGTTATCCGTGTTTTCCGCCCGACCCGGGCATTGGGACTGCTGCTCTAGGTACTGGTGAGGCTGCTGCTCTAGGTGTTGGTGAGGCTGCTGCTCTAGGTGCCAGTGAGTCTGCTTCCTCAGGTGCTGGTGAGTCTGCTCTCTCAAGTACCGCGTCGGCTTCGGCCTCCCACACCTTCACCCTTGACTCGGGGGCGTCCCGCTCCTTCTTTCGAGACCGCACCACACTCACGCCGCTTAGTCGGCCCGTTGCAGTCTCTCTGGCAAACCCCTCTGGGGGTGCTGTCCTTGCCCACTTCTCCACTGTCCTACCCTGTCCGACGGCCCCCTCTGGCACCCTGTCTGGTCTTTACCTCCCCTCGTTCTCTACGAACTTGGTGAGTGGTGCTGACCTACAGGATGCGGGGGTTTACCAGTTCACTCCTGCGAGCCAGCGAGTGACCCACTGCACGTGCGCTCGGACAGGCCGACACTTGGCCACGTTTACCCGTCGGCCGGGGTTGAGCCTATACACACTGACCACTGAGTCTCCTCCGGTCCCTGCGTCTGGTCAGGTAGCTGCGTCGGGTCAGGTGTTTGCTGCAGCGTCCAAGTCTGGTCCTGAGTCTGCCCCTTGCTCGTGTCGTCTCCTGTCTCACGAGACTCTCCTCTGGCACCACCGCCTTGGTCACCCCTCCCTGCCTCGTCTCCGAGGCATGGCCTCACGTGTCCTGGTCTCTGGTCTCCCCCGGTACCTCCCTCCCCTTCCTCCGGGGCCTGCCCCTACCTGTGTTCCCTGCGTCGAGGGGCGGCAGTGTGGTGCCCCTAACTCCTCCCAGTTTCCTCCGACAGAGGCCCCGCTGTAGACGCTTCACGTGGACGTGTGGGGCCCCGCCCGCGTCCGTGGACAGGGTCACGAGCGCTACTTCCTGCTGGTGGTTGACGACTACTCGCGTTACACCACAGTCTTCCCCTTGTGCAGCAAGGGTGATGTCACTGAGGTGTTGCTCGACTGGATCCGCGCAGCTCGTCTCCAGCTCAGGAAGAGTTTCGGCTCGGTCTTTCCTGTTCTGCGTCTGCACTCCGACAGAGGCGGAGAGTTCTCCTCTGGCCTTCTGCGAGCCTATTGTCGTGCACGAGGCATTCGCCAGACCTTCACGCTTCCGGACTCTCCACAACAAAATGGGAGTGCTGAGCACCGCATTGGCATGGTCATGGACGTCGCCCGTACGTCCATGGTGCATGCGGCTGCCCCCCATTTTCTGTGGCCGTTTGTGGTTCGGTACGCGGCGCATCAGATCAACCTTCAGCCCAGGGTCTCCATGTCGGAGACCTCCCCAGCTTTGCTGTGGACGGGAAAGGTTGGCGATGCGTCTGCGTTCCGTGTCTGGGGATCTCGGGCGTTTGTCCGCGACTTGTCTGCGTCGAAGCTGTCCCCTCGTGCTGCTCCCTGCGTCTTCCTTATCTTTCCCCCTGACTCGCCAGGGTGGCAGTTCTACCACCCCACCTCTCGCCGTGTTCTGTCCTCCCAGGACGTCACGTTTGACGAGTCGGTCCCCTACTACCGTCTGTT